GAGAGGAGTAGGAGGTGGGTACAGGGGACGGAAAAGAGGTGGTGGCCGGGGATGGGTAAGAGGTAGCCACTGAGGACGGGTAGGAAGAGAGGGAAGAGGTGGCCGAGGAGGCCACACCAGTTTTGTCTGCTTTCTTGTCCTTCTGTCGTAAGTGGATTTTGGTATGCCTCTTGCGTTCATCACTCCTGGCAAACTTTCTCCCGCAAATGTCACAGGCAAAGGGCTTCTCGCCTGTGTGGGTGCGGATGTGGGTGGTAAGGTGGTCACTGCGACTGAAGTTGCGCATGCAGATGCGGCACTGGAAGGGCTTCTGGCCCGTGTGGATGCGGATGTGGCGGGTGAGCTCGTCGGAGCGAGAGAAGCGACGATCGCAGGACTCGACTGGGCAGGCGTATGGACGTTCGTGGGGGGGTGTCTTGCTGGGCCGGTTAGGGTACTTGCGCATGCGGCTGGGTTTGATAAGCTGGGACTGGTAGGTGGTATTAAGAGCCTTTAAGTCTTGGGAGCCCGATTGAGTGGCAAAGGCTTTAATAGTGGACAGTGGAGTAAGTGAAGGCTGCTGGGTACGGTTCTCCAGACCCTGGAAGGGCTTCTGGTCTGGGGTGCCCAGGCCCAGGTCTCCCTGTTGCTGTGAAAACAGATAGTCAGGGATCATGGGAACCTGGAAGCCACCCTTGGTGGCAGGGTAGGCAGGAGGTGGGTACTGCAGGGCTGTGCCTGCCGAGCCTGGGAAGGCCTGGCTTTGGGGCTCAGGAAAAATGTCAGTGTTGGGAGTGGGAAAGGTGGGTGCAGCTGAGTAAATGGGGCTGCTGTCGTTGGACGGCACAGCACAGCTCAGGGGTGGGCTCTGGGAGGCAGAGGAAGACGTTGACGCCGCTGGAGACGGTGCCGAGGACGAAGAGGCCGGAGGATTGCTCATGCTCACGAGGCCACTGACCAGGCTGAAAAGAGGTTCAGGCCACAAAGTGTTGCCGCTGTTGGGTGCAGGCTCCAGAGAGAAGCGGCCCGTGTAGGTGATGGGAGGCAGCCGAGTACTTTGGCTGGGATAACTCGTCTCCACCATGGCCTTCTCATTATTCAGAGCGATGTCAGAAAAAGACTCTGGGAGGAAAGAGAGCAGAGAGGCCTGGTTACTGGAGAGCAATCACTGGACGATGAGAACCCAAGCGGCCAGGCAAGAGGTCGCCCGGCTACCACCGACTCCCGATGTGGTTAATAATTGATAGCAGCAGATTGCAATGTTCCTGGACCTGCTCCAGTGGCAGAGCCTATTTCAACAGCTGACGCAAACAGAGAATCCCCCCTCTACTGCAGCTAGGAGAGCGCTCCGCAGCGAGGCTGCGCGGGCGAGGGAATCCCGCCAGCACCCTAGTGGCCACAGCTAATGCGCGCCCCCTACCCTGGGCGGCAGGGACATCCCTGTTCACAGATTTGAGCCCTATCCTTGGGGACAAGCGGCAAGCCACGCAGCGCCGCTCGCGCGCGGGGGAGGGGGCAACCCTGCTCATCAAAACAAACCCTCCCCCCCTCCAACCACCCACGCAGCTTGAGCTCTCCATCCAAAACAAACGCTCTGCCCTCCGCGCACCGCAAGGATGGGGTGGTGGGGGAGTTGTCCCCAGACATCCCTCTAACACAAGACCTTGGAGCTGTGTGGAATAGAGGGAAACCCCGGTCCCATCCCTAAGGTCTAGGAGCAGGTCCCTGCAGCAAAGGGCTGGACGTTAGGGTAATCACGAAGGGGTAGTCACCCTCGGCGCAGACCACCGCTTACCTGTGGTCAGGTGCTCATACGGTTGTTCTCCCGGCTCCCCCTGAGCATTGAAGGCGCTGCTGCCGCTGTTGCTGCCGCCCCCACCACCGCCCCCGCTGCTGTTGCTGCTGCTGCTGCTGCTGTTGCCGCCGCTGCCCTCTGGGGCTCCGGCAGCCCCGAGGAACTGGGGAGCCCCATTGCTCAGCAGCATCATCTCCTCCAGTTTGGGGTAGTTGTCCATGGTGGGTGAGTGAGGGAAGGAGCCGAACGGGTCAGAGATCTGCAGCGGGGCCATCAACTGCATCTCGGCCTTGGCTGCTGCCATCCCGGACGAGCGAGCTGGAGAGCTGATGTTGGGCGGTGGGCGCAGCCCGGGGCCGAAGCTACTGAGGGCACACTCGCCGGGGGTTGGCCGGGTCACATGCGGGGCGCAGGGCACACTGCGGGGGAGTGGAGGTGGGCCCCCAGGCTGCCGGTGGCCGCGGCCCGTGGTGGACGCAGGGCTGCAGCGGAGGCTGGGGTAGGGGCCGATCTTGCGGCGGCGGAAGCTGACGGTGGTAGCGGCGAATCGCGGCGGCGGCTCCCCAAGTTCTGCGCGCTGGGATCTCTCGCGACTCCCCGAATCGGCCTCTATTTCAAGGGTCTGGAACGGCACGGCTCCGCCTCCGCCGTGACGTACATGGCCATATATGGGAAGCAGGAAGCCCTAATATGGAAGGACCGGCCGGGAGGACCCGGAGTGACGTGAAGCACCCCCATCCGAGGGCGGTGGGCACCTGCACCCCGAGACCCGCTCCGGCATCTCGAGCACTCAAGCTCTGGGGAAGCCGAGTATTGGAACGGCAGCGGGGGCCGCCGGGGCCAGGCGCCTGGAGTTCCCAGGCTGCCCCCGCCCCAACCCCCCTCGCCCCTCCTCCCAGAGCCGGAAGCGGCAGGGCCATATTGGGCCGCTCCAAATAAGGCGCTGCCCAAATAAGGTCTGTTCCGGCGGGGGATCCTTCCTGCTCCTTATATGGCGTTTCCGGGCCGGCGCTCCCACCCTCCCCCTCCTTGGTTCCCAGCCGGGAGCCCGAACGCGCGCAGGAGTCGGGGACGCCCGCGTGGGGAGGGCGCCAGGCGCGGAGAGCTGGGCGCGCGGCGGCTCCGACGGCCCCCGGGTGCGAGCTGGGCTGGGGAAGCCCAGGCCGGGCGCGGGGGCGAGGGCGAGCCAGGCCCGGGTTCTACAGCCGTCATCCCGGGCTCACCCGCCCACCTCGGGGACCGTGGGAGCGAGCCCGCCGACAGGAGGAGCGCCTGGGCGGGCTGGGGCAGAGGCCGCCCAGGAGAGGCGGGGCCCTGACCCGAGCCTCCGCTAATGGCAGGGTCACTTACTTGCCAGGTGCCACCGGGAAAACCGAGACCAACAAAAATTTGGCAACTGGGCTCTGGGGACGCTGCCTAGCGGTCGGGCGCCTATTCGGCCACCCGTCAGTAGGCTGGGGGGTGTTAAGACCTGGGGCCCCCAATGCGCCAGCCAGAATCGAAAGGCTAATTCCCTGGCCCCTGCGGTTGGGGGAGCCACCTTTTGGGGACCTGGACTGCAGACCCTGATTGCCCTAGGACAGTCCGGAGTCCCCGCCGGGAGCTGCTGGTTCTTGTGATGGTTGGACACTTCCTGACCTTTATCCAGTCCAGGGACTGGGCGGGCGGACCCTGCCCTGTTCTAAAGAGGGGACTCTTCCTTCGGGCGGCCTGGCGACCCCAGGCTTGGCGTGCTGAGGACGCGCCTGCGACTCTGTGCTGCCCTCTGGAGGTCTCTCCGGGTGGGGCGGGCTCTTCCGCCGCCCCCACGTCCCCCTCCCGCTTTCTGTGCTGGGCGCAGAGCCAGGCCGGGGAGAGCCTAAGACGCAGTGAGCGAGAACTGAGCAGGCGCGGCGGCCTGGGCCTTCCCCGCAGTCCCCCGGGAACCGCCACTGCCGAGGCGCCCAGACTCCGGGGTAACACTTCCTCACCTAGCCAGGCCAAGGGCAGGGAACGCGGGGAGGTGATGGCGGAGTGATTCCCGCAGATCTCCTGGGACCTTGACGCAAGCAGTGAAGCCCTCCTCCCCCACCCCAAAGGGAGAAGGGATTCCAGAAGGGAAGGCTCCTGTTGTTTCCAAATTTGAATCCAGAGAAGGTGCTGCTTTTTATTTTATTTAAAAAGGAAGCAAAGAGTGCCTGTGTGGAAGGAGAATGAGATACAGAAGGAAGAAGGGCATGGTCATCAGGGTTTAACGGGCTGAGGGGGTTACTCTTCGGCATTCTCTCTCTCTGAAGCCCTCCCCCCACCCCGTTTTTTAAAAAGGCAGCTTAAGGAATCCAGCAATGAACCAAGGTTCCCTTGTGTTTGAACTCACCATCCTAAGTTCCTTGGCAAGTGTTAAATTATTCACTTAGGGGCCATAAGTCGTGTGCCTTTCCATAGCCTTCTGGCCAGGACAGGCAGCATCTGTGCTTCCTGTGTGAGAATGCCCATTTTGTCACTCTCGTGGGGGTTCTCTGACCACGCTTTCTGTGTAAGATGAGGCTAATGTTAACGATGTTCATGTAGAAGGATGGTACAGACTGACGTTTACACAGCCTGCTACCTGTGACTACCAAACACCAGGCTTGCATTGCAGTTAGCAAACACTGAATAAGCAGAGGTGGTTGTTCCCTTTGCTCACCCGACCTCACCCAGCCTTGAGAAAACCCAGTGGGGCTGGGAATGTAACTCAGCTGATAGAAAACTTAGCACGCAGAAAAACCTTGCTTCTAGCCGGGCAGTGGTGGTGCATGCCTTTAACTCCAGCACTGGAGAGGCAGAACCAGGAGTATCTCTGTGAGTTCAAGGCCAGCCTGGTCTACAGAGCGAGATCCAGGAAAGGCTCAAAGCTACACAGAGAAACCCGGTCTCGGAAAAAAAAAAACCAACAACAACCTTGTTTCTAGTATGGCATGAACCAGCCTGGTGCTGATAATCCCAGTACTAAGGAAGTTCAATTAGGAGAATCAAGTGTTCAAGGCAATCCTGGGCTACATGAGATCACATGAGACCGCATCTTTAAAAAAACAAAAGAAGCCGGGCGGTGGTGGCGCACGCCTTTAATCCCAGCACTCGGGAGGCAGAGCCAGGCGGATCTCTGTGAGTTCGAGGCCAGCCTGGGCTACCAAGTGAGTCCCAGGAAAGGCGCAAAGCTACACAGAGAAACCCTGTCTCGAAAAACCAAAAAAAAAAAAAAAAAAAAAAAAAAAGAGAAGAAAAACAAAAAAATTGTGCAGAGAGAAAAGAATTCCAATCCTAACACAAGAGACACTGTCCCTAACAGCTAATCTGTATCCTTTTTAAAAAGAATATATTATTTCACGTGTATGTATTTATGCTTTGCCTATGTGTCTGTAAGAGCACTGCCCTTGGGGTCTAAAAGATGGCATCGATCCCCTGAAACGGTGGTTACAGACTATGGTGAGCCTCCATTTGGTGGCTGGGAACCAAACCAAGATCCTCTCTGCAAAGCAGCCTGTGCTCTTAACTCGCTGCCTCTCCAGCTCCTAACCTGTGCTCTCCCTGCTGCAGGAGAACATTTTTTCCCTAGAGCAGACACCTCGATGGACAGCAGAATCGCCTGTGGGGCTCTGGAAAAGAGCTTTTTATGGAGCAACCGAATCATGGAACTGAGAAAGCAACTCAGCCAAGGACCCTTGTCCCGTGCCTGCAGCATTCCTTAGACTGCGAACACACACACACACATACACACACACACACATACACACACACACACATACACACTCACACACACACACCGGCCCCAGTGCCAGGACAAAGTGGTTGTCCCATGAGTCTAATGTGCAAGTCCTGCTGAGGTGTCTGAATGTCTGCTTTTTGTGTGTCCAGCAGCAGTTATTTTTGGAATATTCCTCAGCCAGCAATGTCTTCTGAGGAGCTGCCACCACTCCTGAGGTTGAGGGGGGAGGATAACTCCACCCCGAATCTAAGTGGAGATCTGTAACCCAGGCCTGATCATCCACATAGGATCCTCTAATCTAGGAGCACCTCAGTTTCCTATGGTGACTGAATCAGGATGGGCACATGACCCAAACCAGGCCAGCGAAGATAACTTCTGGGACTTTCTTTGAACTCTTGAGGAAGACCTCTCCTTCTCTGTCAGATACAAAGCCAATGGAATGGGAGCCCGGAGTCTGAGTTGCTCTCAGGATTGGAGAGCCTGCTTGAGAATGAAGCCATCGGAAGGAGATCGGAGAAAAGAGATTTTCAGAGCCGGAGTTCGTTTTTGGATATCATCTTGGCTCTTCAGATGCACGAGTCAGTGCGTTTCCTTCTCATTTAATAAAACAAGCATCCTCAGCTCCTTTTCTGTTACCATAACCCAGGAGATTCTAATTACCACACCCTTCTCAACTGCAGTTCCAGACTTCTCTGAGAAGGTGGGTAAGGCCTATGGTGTAGCCTCCCGCACCCCTAGCCCCTCTAAGGAGCTTACAGTGGATAGAAGCAAGCCTGGATTCTGTCACAAGAGAAGGAATCACTCCCGTGGCCACCACATGCCAGCAGCATCCAGGGACATAAGAGGTAAAAAGGAGTTTTTTTTGGCGATTGTCTTGTAACTCGGTGACCCTAGCAACTGGGAGACAGAGGTAGGAGGGCTGCGGCAGTTTCAAGTCACTCCTGGGCTGTGTGAGCCTCTGTCTCAAGCCGGGCAGTGGTGGGGCATGCCTTAAATCCCAGCACTTGGGAATCTCTGAGTTCAAGGCCAGCCTGGTGAGTTCCAGGACAGCCAGAGCTGTTAGACAGAAACCCTGTCTCGAAAAACAAACAAACAAAAAAGACTGTCTCAAACAACAACAACAAAAAACAGGATTAAAAAGGGAAGGAGGTTCCAGAGAGTTAGACAGACAGAGACAATGAGAAGATTTTGGAGCAGAAAGAACATCCCAAGGACTGTATTTTATAGTGGGGAGGTGAGAGACTCTTATAGGCCCAGCAGGCAGTTGAATAACCAGAAGGCACCCCCCCCCCTTTTTTTTTCTGAGACAGGGTTTCTCTGTGTAGTTTTGGCGCCTTTTGTGGAACTCGCTCTGCAGCCCAGGCTGGCCTCGAACTCACTGAGATCTGCCTGCCTCTGCCTCCTGAGTGCTGGGATCAAAGTCATGCACCACCACCATCCAGCCAGAAGGACCCACTTCTAAGCTGTCTGGTGAAGATGCTGTTGGACATTGAGAGGATGGCCTGGATCAGAAAGGGCTGCTGTCGCCAAGTGGAGGGAGACTGAGTTACTCTAACAAATATTTTTTCTTCTTTCTTTTTTTTCTCTCTTTTATAGGAAGGGTCTCTCTATACAGTCCATAACTTGTGATCCTCCTGCCCTGCCCAGCCTTCTGAGTGTTAGCTGATTCCATTCTTTTAAAAAACATTTAGGCCAGCCGGGCGGTGGTGGCGCACGCCTTTAATCCCAGCACTCGGGAGGCAGAGCCAGGCGGATCTCTGTGAGTTCGAGGCCAGCCTGGGCTACCAAGTGAGTTCCAGGAGAGGCGCAAAGCTACACAGAGAAACCCTGTCTCGAAAAAACCAAAAAAAAAAAAAAAAAAAAAAAAAAAAAACATTTAGGCCAGAGTGCTGGTGCACATCGTTAATCCCAGCACTGAGGAGGCAGAGACCAGAGGATCTCTGTGAGTGTGAGACCAGCCTGGTCTGCACACTGAGTTCCTGACAAGCTAGTGCAACAGTGAGATAGTGATAACCTCTCTCTCACTCTCAAAATAAAAATAAAACACTAAAGAGGTTGGGGCAGGAAGAATGCCGTGAGTTGCAGGCCAGCCTGGGCTATAGAATTAAGACCCTGTTTCAGACAAACAGAAGAAACACACTCTGCATGGAAGGAGGCTCAGGCTCAGCGGTGGGGGATTCCAGGAAGACAGACAAGTTCAAAGACCTCAGGAGGTATGGGTGCTGGACCATGATTGGGCCGAGAACTCAAGCTAAGACGTAGGTGGGCTAAGAATGCCCAGCGCTGAACTGTACTGTCTGTCCATCCATACTTCCTGTTGTTTAGTTTTGTGGTTCAAAGACAAAGAGGCTTCTTTACCTTGCCCAGTCTCCTTGGTGTGACCCACTAGAAGGCAGATTCTGCTCAGGAACAGTAGTGAGGAGCTGAGCTCAAATCCCTGTCACACTGCCCAGGGCTACAGACCACAGCACTCTGTAAAGGGTAGCTAGTGAGAAGAAAGGTCTGCCACACACCCCCTCAGAGAGGGGGCGTCTCAGCAGCAAGGCCAGGAGCACCTGAGTCATCCCCACCTTCCACTGACCTGTTCTGCAGCTGGTGGCACACTTCTGTTGGCTGTGACTGGAGGGCTGGGGGACAAGGACGAGACAGGGAAAAGTGATCCCTCCCAAGGAGCCAAGTCCCAACTTGGGCCTGTGAGGAATAGCCAGTGTATACCCAGCAACTCAGATGGAAAAGTGTCCTGAGGCCTACAGGAAGGCAGGCTGCATGGGCCTGGAGAGATGGACTCGGTGATGACCTGGGACTCTAGGGTTCTCGATGGCCAGGTGATTGGTGATTGATGCCAGAGGCTCTAGATACGCTGTCTGCACTCGTGCTCTGAGAGTGGAGAGGAGGAGGCAGAGGAGAGGGAGACCCCAGCTGCTGAGTCTCCAATAGAAAGCCAGTGGGCCATGTTGACTGTCATTTCACCCAAGGTCAAGCAGGCTGCAGCTCTCAGAGGAAAGGGAGCCCCATTTTCCACTGCCACTTCCTCTTCCCAGAGCTAGGTTGCGTCAGCGCCCACATGTGCTTCTCTGGCCGTGGTTTGCCGCTTCTGTGTCTAGCCCCGGGGCTCAGGAAGTGACTCTCTTTTGGGTTCTGTCTGGGTTGCCTGTCACACTTTCCGATGGCTGAGGGGCCCCAACCGAAACCCAGACAGCTTGGCCTGGAATGCTTCTGGGTACAGCTTTGCTCCCGCCTGTGGAGGGCTTTGAGAGATGAGAAGTCTGAAGAGGCCACACCAGAGGTGGGAAGGAAGTAGGGGACAAATGGGGAAAGACAGGGACATGAGAGAGGATTGTCCCAGAGGGAGGAGGTGCCTCTTCCATAACCCTGAGACCTAGGCTAGGTGGGAAGGGCCATGCAGAGTGGTGCTGAGGCCTGGAGCAGATGGGATGATGGTCTGAGAGAACCCCTAATGGGCTGGGGTGTAGCTCAGTGGTAGATGCTTTCCTAGTGTGTTCGATCCCCCAGGTTAAATCCCCAGCAACACACACACAGATACACACTCACATATACACATACACGCATGAACACACACCATACACACACATTGAACACACACATTCTCACATGCACTCACTCATGCACACACACACACACACACACACACACACACACACACACACACACACGTGAACCGGTGAAGAGAGCGCCTCACCCACTCCAAAAGTGATCCAGGCCTTGTAGAAAAGAGACCGTGGGGAATTCGGCACTAGGTACAGGACTGCCTAAGGCAGTTGTGGTCTGGGTGGCTTGAATCAAGTCCTCAGAGCCCTAAGGGGTGATGAGCCAGACAGAGTTAGGTTAGTCTTAAAATGGAAGCCACTGAGGCATAGAAAGTTGGAGGAGGTGGCACAGTCTGTCCTTAAGGAGGTCTGTGGAGGGAGGGGGAGCCGACTATCTAGACAGGCTCTCCGGATCTTTCCTGCCCCAGGGTGCCATGCAGAGGCTGAGAGAGACTGCTGCCCTTGGAGGCCATCCTTCTGACCTGCTGCACTGCATGATCTCTCTCCCAGATCTGAGCCTGTGAGGACACTGGGCTCAGAGGACAACCCATCCTGTGGTGCTTTCTCTGCTCTCCCCACCCCCCAGCTGAGTGTGCAGCAAAGCCAGCCGGCTGCAGAAATCTCTGGAAGCTCCCTGGGCAGGAGAGGGAGGGGACTGTTACATAAGAGCCCTACTGATGTGCAGGAAGTCGAAAGCAGCCTTTAGATTCAAAAAGCAGTGTTTCCACCCAGCCCAGAATGGCAGGAATAGAAACAGGGGTTATTTCTGGCCCCTCACCACCGCCCAGCGCCAGGCTGCTCAGCTTCTTGGTGGGTAAGCATGGATTCTGCAGACCTGGCAGGAGGGAGAGGCGGGGAGGAGACAGGCACCTTCTGGGGTTACCTGATTCGGGTCTGTCCTCAGTTACCCCCATCCTAACAAACCCAAGAATGCCAAGGACACAGTAGTGACAGTGAGCTTGCTTCTTCTTCTTCCGACTTCCCTTAATCCCTGGGTGCATTTTCCATGCCCACCCCCTCCCAGCACACATCCACTGTGTGACAGGCTTCTCAGCGTTTGTCTCCACAGTGCCTGATGAGGTTGGTCTCATTCTCAGGCCCATTTCATTGATGGGGAAAGACGTGCAGAAAAGACAGGTAACTTGTTCAAGGTCACAGAGGTGAACCAGGAGCCCATTCAAGATGGTCTGGCTTCAGAACTCTTCGTCTAAATTGCAGCCTACACCAAGATCTATTGTCTGGGGTCCCAAAATGAACCTGAGAATCTCGCTCTCTTCAGTTCTCGAGTAAGTTGGAAACAGGAGCCAGACCAACAAACAGGTCACTTCTATTCATACCGTATTTACTGCCCAAACATCGTGTCTGTTCTATGAGATGACGACGTTTAGGAGACTCCTGCCACCCTGCTCTTGCTGTGCCCCAGCCTAGTGGAGACAGATATGCAAAGAAGTGATGATAAGCTGGTGTGGTGGTCCATGCCTGTCATCTCAGCATTTGGGAGGTCGAGGCAGGAGGATCAGGAGCTCAAGGTCATCCTCAATTACATAGGGAATTTAAGGCTAGTCTGGGAAACTCAGGACTCAGTTCCCTTCCAGTCCAGGTGCAGAGGGTCGTCATGGCAGTATGCATGTCTTGAAGCTGACATTGGACATCTTCTTGGCTTTTGCTGACTCAAAATTTAAAAAGAATGAACAGAGAAAACAGCAATGGTGACAGTGTGACCCATTTTCTCATGGGGGGTGGGGGGTGCACAGCTAGTCCTTGATCTAGCTTTCACTTCATGTGCATCCCAGCCCATCAGAGAGCCAAGCTGCCACTTGTAAAAAGCACAAGAAAAATCAGGATGTGATAATAATCCCAGAGCTTGGGAGGCAGATGCCACAGGGGTCGCCAGAAATCGGAGGCCAGCTTGGTTTACAGAGTAAAACCAAAACAAAATGTCCTGAATAAACAAAACAAAAAAGAAAAGAGCCAGGCGGTGGTGGCACATGCCTCTAATCCCAGTGCTTGAGAGGCAGAGGCAGGTGGATCTCTGAGTTCAAGACCAGCCTGGTCTACAGAGGAAGTTCCAGGACAGCCAGGGCTACACAGAG